ACGTTGTCTATTTGTGTTTCTTTTACCTATGTAGAGAGACCATTTTTTTTATCGCGAGAGGGGCACTGTTGTTTTGATGGCTAATTATTCATCTCGAGAGGGGCACAATTTTATTATTGCGAGAGGGGTATTTGTGCTTTCGAGGGGTAGTTTTCCATCTGGAGAAGGTGCGCAATCTTGTTAATGCGAGAATGGTACTTGTATTTTTTGAGGGGCAGTTTTGCATTACAAGAGAGCAGACAATTTTGTATTTGTAGCGCGATCATATACCTTCATGTCGGCGTTGAGGGGCTGTTACGTTTTCATCTCCAGGGGGCACATTTATAACCGCGAGAGAGGCACTTTTGTTGGCCTGGGAAAATCTGGGGGGGGGGGGGGGGGTAGTCCCCCCGGCCCCTCCGCCCCTGTTATTTACCATTCCCAACTCGCCAATTCCCAGAGCAATGCGATCACTGATAACTACTGACACCTTCCAATGTTTACCCCTGCGTGCTCGTGCGCGTTTACGGTGCACTCCAGGGAATTCTTGCAAATGGTTTCATAGGTCGTCTCAAGTGTTTAGAAGCTTACAGCAATAGAGACGTATTCAGGTTTACTTTCCCCTTTCCGGATGTGCTAACAAGCAGAGGTAAAGGTATTTCACCGCATTCTTGGTGCTGCCTCTCCTGTTTCGCTGGAAATCATTGCTTGTTTACTCCGATAGTTACCTTCCTTCCTCTAAATGCAAACCCAAATGGACTTGTGCTTGAGTTATGTCGTCTGTATTTAACGTTTGAATCACGATCCAATTCAAGCCCAGTCAAAGACTCGAGACCAGACTGACATTCTAGTGGCTATCAGGAACAAACACCGTTCGTTTTCACGAAGAGCTTTCGACCTGGTTCCTTTTCGCCATTTCTTCAATGCATTTTTTATCATTTTGGATTGGGGGTGGGGTGATGCGACGAAGAATATATGAGTGCTTTCTAGTTTGTCAGGTGTCTGCTAATGAGAGCGAGGTTGAATGAAACCCCTGGGTAAGATTGAATCAGGTTTTACCAAACCAGTATGTAAACGGGTGACAATATCAATTCACTGCCATGGCAACTGCACGTCTGACAAAATGCGAGTACATGCACTTTGAGCATTAGGCTGTATGAGAGATCGTGGCACGGACTACTGATTTTGGATACACACAATAAGTATGTGTCGTGTGTAATGCAAAACGGTGACCATTACCAAGGTGTTACCGCACTTGAGAGTGAAGACATGCGCGTCCAGTATCAGAGTAATTGTCAAAGTAAAAGTGAAATCTAAACCTTGATAGTCCTTCAATTTTTATATGATTTTTTTCAGATGCCCCACAGGGTAAGGGCAAATGAGGAAATGAAGAGTACTAATTGCCTGTCCATAGCAATTGTCGGGAAAAGATATATTAATAAGAACCTATCAAATTTCATATTGTAACCTCAATGTTACAGCTATTTCAGCACCACAAGTTACCAGAATTTTGGATATGTTGTTGTTGTAAATTTTCGTTACGTTGGTGATTCGTTGTTGTGTCAGTTACATGGCTATAAGCCAATGAGGAAACTTTTTTCACAAATGTTTTCAATGAACACATTTGTCGGTTCACAATTTGAACAGAAAACCCCTACACTGAACAGAGTCCTCCCGAAATGACATCACATCAACAGCGGCCTCAGTTGTCCGGAAAGCATGGACAATTTTAAATATTTAAAGAAGTGGACTTTCAATAAAATTCACCAAAAGGGAATGTCAAATAGTTTTCATACATTAAAGAGAAGTAGAAAGTTACACAAAATGCGTGCCTTTTTTGGCACAGTAGTCTTGACTTCCTTCATCGGTAGATCACATTTTAACAGCAAGTAACCGTATTCACTGCTGTTTCTGCACTAAAAAAACTTCACTACAGATTATTGTGCATTACTCTTCTACAATGAAACAGGCGGACTACGTAATTAGGAGCAACGCATCTATTGTTTTAAAACAGCAAGTCTAGTCGGTGTACTTTTACAAAACTGTGTACCGTCCTGGAGGCCTACACCACGAATGAAGCAAAATCTTACATAATTTAATTTACGAACCAATGTAGAACAGTAAAATCTACCAGAGATCCTTATAAAAAATATGAGCTGCCAACAACTCTGTATATAGGAATGCGTAAGTTTTTTTAATGGTATAAATCTGGCCAGCCAGGGCGAGCATGATTTACAATCAGTGTTCCCAGCGCAGACAAATCATACGCAAAATCAGTTAGGGATGCAAAGCTATCGCTAGGGTCTTCAATATTGCACTCACTTCATTTCTAACAAGAATAGAACGCTATACTCTTTTCGGTTTTGCTCGCCATGTTTCGTTTTCGAATTCAAGCGGCCGCTACTGCCAAAAGAACGACTAAAGTTTAATGAAGACAATGTATCTTATGACTCAGATAATTCTTTGACTCACATGTTAATTTACTTGCTACTCAAGTTGTCCACGCAGTGAACACTGCGAAAATGAAGACAAAAATAACCCATGTAGAGCGATTTTCTTTCTACCAAAAACTAACCCAAACGATTTTGAATGATAATTGTGGTTTTTATTAAACTCTTTCATAACCGCATTCCGTAATATTCGCTGCATTTGCAGTTGCTATTGCAATTAATTCAAAACGCCAATAATGGTAGGTATCACATTAATGCTTCACATAGGACCTACATGATTAAACTTTCCATATTTGGAAGAATGCACCTGTTTCCGTCCTACCATCAAGCCCGCCGCATACGGGCTACGTGCTAAGCAAAAAGTCATTCCAAGCTGTTTGCTCAGCACGTAGCTCACCGTGTGCGTGACATTTTCGCTGAGTTTTCTGCCTCCGACGCGAGGCCGTGAGGCAAATATCTCCCGTATTTGATTTCTTTCGCCTCACGAGGCGGAAAAAATGACAGTGTGCGCGGTCAACCTGAGCTACGTGCTTAGCAAACGGCCTTGAATGACTTTTTTGCTCAGCACGTATAGCTCTCGTGTGCGGCGGACTTTATGAACTAGCAAACAGCTGGCTGCTTTAGTAGCAACCACATTATTAAACCTAGCCGTAGGCCGGTTTCGACCTCGCAATGTTATTTCCAAGTGGAAAGGTTGGGACGAGAATATCAAAATGTTCAGGTGCTATAATAAACAAACATCCCCATGGCGTTATATAAGTGTAACCATATACAATCAAACGCAGGTGTTTCTACGTGCAATGTATTTTTTTCGGGAGGAATTGCTGATTAGTCTTGTTTTTTTCCTAAGAATTATACTCTGGTGCTTCAGGTGCAAAACCTTTTACCTATTAAAATATCCTTTCGGGAGGGATACAAAATATATATTATTGTGTTACCCAGCAGGCAAACAAGGAGAGTGTTGACGCCTTTTGTCGTGAGAATAATGTATTAGAGTTAGGCTCGAAAACGACAATTCGATTTGATATGATATCTATACGTGGATGAAAAAGCCTCGTCAAAAAGATATTGTAAAAATGTGCGAACAAAATGTTATCAGAAATCCTCCTTTAATTAATCTTGGAAAAATGGTGGTTCAAAGACGTAGTCATCAATATGCATGTTTGTTTCCTCATTAGTAGGCTACCTCAAGGTCGATCATTATAATTGCACTTATGGTCGCCCCTAGACTGAGGTAGTCATGTATATACACGGTTCTGATCAGTACCTCTAGGTCCGACCATCATTGCTATAATGATCACCCCTAGCTAGGCACCGCTATTGCAATGGTGTAGCCACGCTGGGAAGGGGGGGGGGGGAGTGGGGGAACACGTGTTTCCCACAAATTCCAAGTGCCCAGAGCTGGCCCACAGGTGCCCTCACAAAGATTCTGAATTTGCCCCTCGCCAAAGAAACGCTTTTTGGACCATGGGGATGGGCTATTGAATCATCCCCACCCCCACCACTTTTCCGTGATGAAAAATAAAAATTGATTTCGAGGTATTTTCGAACATTCCAACAACCGAAAAGTACTGAAAAGTGGAGAAACAAAGTAAAAAACTTTTAAAATGCGCCGTTTTGATGTAAGCGCAAGTATACATATTGATATGTCCTGAAGAGCGCCTCTAGTGTAATGTGGTGTTCAGCCCCCCCCCCCCCCACCCCTCCCTTTAGAATTTCTACGGCCGGGCAAATTTTTGGATTTTGATCATCCCCCATCCCCCCCCCTCTCGCCGGCACATATTTTTTTAGTGTTTAAGTATTACAACTAATACAAGAACGAAGATGACTAGCTTTTACGTTATACTAAATTCCCTTACGGATTTATAAACTTATTTAATAAAGTTATAACAACAAAGAGCACCCTCTAACGTCAAGAGGTCTTGTCCCCCCCCCCACACACACACCCACCGGTTTTGCGCCCTCTGCTGGCGGTGTATGTGTTATATGTCTTTGGACCTTTATTTGCATCCTATACAGGGTGTCCCCCCAAGAAAACGGAACAGTGTACTTCCGCTACCCAGAGACTCTAACAATCAATACTAATGTAGGGGAATTTCTTTTCAAAGATTGTTTCCAGTAGTTTTTGTTCTAGAGCCTACTTTGTGAAACAAAGTTGGGAGTCATTTTGTCCCGATGAATTACTAAACCGCGTGACTTAATTGGATAGAGGTTTTAATTTTCGTCATGTTATAATACCCACATGAAAGATGTGGGCTTCACAAAATAACTCTGCAGCAAAACCGACTGGACCAAATCGGGAGATTTTGGTATCATATTTCTTCTCAAAAAGATTCTCCATCCTTTGGTACAAGTGGTTTGAGTATACCGGTCCGTTCAAGTTTTGTGGGCCACCCTGTATAGTACCCTCTTTCGGCAAATGTGACGTAATCATTTTCAGTTGTGTAGGAGTTCGGTACTACTGTTTGCCAGCAGAAAACTAGATATCGGGCCATAATTATAGAAAAGAAATGTTTGTCATGAACAAAAACCTTTCCATTTTACAGGTTGTAGCTTCTGCTCGACGGCGATATGTATCTGGACTCTGTGTGGTGGTTTCGGGTGACTCTGGAGGGCGCTGTCTTCTTGATCGGTGTCCCTGGCAACCTACTCATCATCCACGTGTACGCGTCCAAGAGGACAAAGGTCACACCCCATGTCTTCATCATCGGATTGGCCGTTGCTGATTTCACGGTTTGTCTCTTGCGGATGATAGCCCTGGTCCAACTTTTCCCGCCAATTGACACGTTCAGGGCGACCAGTCAATTCTTCTGCCGTGTGCCGCCCAGTATTGACGTTTGGCCGAAGTATACGTCCATACTTCTGACAACGGCCGTGGCGGTTGACCGCTATCTGGCCATCTGCCGACCGCATGGGCGTCGGATGACCGTGCGACAGGCCCGTCATGCCGTCTATGCCTGCTTCGCTGTGTCTGTGGTCGTCACGCTCTCGTATCTGTTCATGCACGGAGTTGCACCGCTTCACGAAGGCACCACGTCTTGTCAGTTCCTCGTTCCGCCTGCGGTAATCACTACCGCGTTTATCTCCCTCATGATTTCCTTCGTTATCTCGTGTGTAATCATCGTGGTGTTGTACGTCAAGATCTACCGGAAAGTCAACCGGATGGCTAAGGTGCGTCCAGGGAACACCGTTCACCGCTGTGCCTCGCATGCATCGTCCCGTGTATCTCACGACGATTCAACGGCCCGGGCGGGAGGCATCACACCCAACCGCCTAATAGCCGCGGCCTCCCGTAAAACCAATCCTGAAATTCAACAAGACAAATCGGTAGATGAGCTGAAAGCTCGAGTGATGCCTCATCAACCACAACCTGAACCGAGAACCTCTGCGTGGAACGCCGATCATCAGATGGAGGAGTTACCAATTCTGAAACCGCCTACCGAACCCACGGTACCCAGCATCAGTAGCACAATAACTTCAAATAACACTTCGATTGCGAGCCCATCACCTCAAGCCACAAAAATAGACACTGGGACCAAAAGCGACCAATCAAATGCCCCACAATTCCACAAGAAAACCACGCTGATGTTGCTTCTGTCTACCATAGTCTTCATCGTCACACTCGTACCAGTGTGTATCGTAATGTTGGCCTACCCATTCATCCTACCGCTGCTAGCACACAACGAGGCATTTCGGTTCCTAGTCAACGTGGCCTCGTACCTGAACCTGGTCAACAACGCAGCCAACCCCGTCCTGTTTAGCTTCGTCAGCCGCCGGTTTCGTGAAGACATGAAAAGATCGCTTCGAAAACTATGCCGTGGGGGCGGCCGTTTTCGGGACTAGTCGCAATAGTTTCACTTTAAAAGGGCTTCAAAATCTCACGGCGATCCTCACTCATAAAACATGGGGAAAATGTTTTTCAGAAATGGTAGACGTATTCCATTTCCAAAAAAGGGGGGGGGGGGTGAATGGGAGGAGCCTAACTCTCCTGTTTTGGGCGACTGGTGGCGTTGTATTTGCCATTATTATGATGCACTGGAAAGCTAATACTATTGAACCGAACTCCACATGTTAGTGGTTGTACAATATGTGTATATTAAATTGCTAATGTTTGTTTCGAAAATCTGTAACCTGTCAACTTCTCACTATGCACTTTATCTAAGGAAAAAGAAAATCACTTATTTTTTTTTTTTTTCATATATAAAAAAATCTCGCTCCACAATTATTTCTCACCGTCACCCTTTTATTTAATTTTAACAAATGACAGTGAACTATTTTCCAACTTTGTTTTATTATGAGTTATGCTAATATTATAATTACTAGCATTAATTAAAAAAAAATCGCTATCGTTCAGTTCACACATTAATTCCTCTCCAAGGCTCAAGATGTTGAGGAAGAGACACTCGGGCTCAGCCACTCCCCTCATGACAGCATGCAGAGTATAGCCTGGCCAATGGCTGTCCGCGCCTGCGTGCCGTCATTTTGACACGCTGTCACGAGGTGCAAGGAAGTGGCGTGGTCAATATGTCGACCTCCTGTAACCAGTTGGAGAAATTCGTCCTTGAACAATGCTTCCGAGTCGACGACCACGCATAATATGCGCTGGGTTGGGCGCTAAGCAACTGCGCCACCTCGATTTCAGCTGTAACCAGAATGTCACAGTGGAGACGGTGAGGAAAATACGAGAGGTCCGGGGAGGAGGACTAAGGATCGTGACTGATGGCTGCCCCAGGGTGCCGAGAGGGGGCGCTGCGTCAAGAGACACCAAGAAAGATGGTCTGCGAAACAGCTGATTGACTAGCATTTGCATCTTACCCAAGCAAGAGGGCACGCCCTCAAGAGTTCAAGATGTCTCCTATTAGAGAGGGCAATCCAAACCCCCAAAACGTAGTTAAAATAGATGCGTTCTTTTAGCTCACCTGGGTCGACCGGATAAAGGCAGACGGGTCAGCCACGACAGCCGGGCTAATCGAACGCTCAACCGCGGGCCATCACGATCCATCACGTGACGCCCTTAGCCGTGGCCGTAGGCACTGAAGAAAAACTCGTTACGGATTAGGTCTTGGTTTGAGATTTACTGCTTTGTAGTCCATTGCGCTAAACTCAAAAAGTTGGGGTGAAATTAAAGTCTCAAAAGTCGCAATGAACTTAATACATGATTACCTTATACTTCAAATAACACACTTTTTAAGTCCACTTGAGATTTATACTGTCCAGCCGCCTTATTTGTCCGTATCTAAAGAAAGACAAACGCATGCGTGACGTACTTCCACCAGTGACTCTGCTCCACGAGCAGGGTCTGTGGTGGCTGACCCGGGTAAGCCCCGAGAATGACGTCAGAACTAATCGAACGGCACGGGGATGACCTGTGTCGACCCGGGTGAGCTAAAGGAACGCACCCGTTATAATAAGTATTTATATGTGCAATACAAGATTCCATCGCTAGTTTCCACTATAAGGATGGTTTATGTCACTGTCGATAGCTAGTAAACTGAATGTTGCTTAAAACCCTGGCCAAAGACTTGAAGCACAGATCGCAGAATGTCTGGATGAATAGCGTCCACAACTTACTGGCCCAAGGGAGAACGATAAAACAGGACTTGATGCAGGGAACCACGTACCAGATGTGTGGCAGGAAAGTGAGGCAGGCAAAGTACACACCCGGGAAGGAGTAAAATGCATAGCATGTATTGATTTCACTGGTACTCCTTCAAGTACGTTTGTGTGGTTACTTTTCCTTTCAACTCGGTGATGGGTAAAATTAATAATGTTTAAGACGATGTTCGATTCGAATTCCTTCTGAAACTTTGAAGGAAATAAACACATTGTATGTAGAAGTCATAACTAAAGTCATGGCAACGTTTTTCGCCCAAAAGTGTTGAGTTGAGAAATTTGGACAGCTGAAAAGAAACTTGCTTGGAACGGAGAGAGGCATTTTTACTTCAACAATGCGTATTAGTTGAGCTTGACCCGAAAGTCTCAGATTGGGTATTCTATTTGAGCATGTTCTCATCAGAACAGTCAGGCATTCAGTCAGTCAGGCAGTCAATAAGTCAGTGACTCAGTCAGTCATGGGACAACAGGCTGGCCTTTAAGATGCAGCACACAGCAAATAGATATCAACTGATAAAGCTTGGTATGAGCTTTTTTGTCTGGTCTCACCCCAGCAGATGGAGAAGAGAATACCGCACAGCAGCGTGCAGATACGGTAGGACCAAGACTTGACGAAGGTGAAGGTGATGAAGCTGTAACGCCAGACCCTATCGAAACTACATGTATGCATGCCGTCTGGTTCCGCCAAGACCTCCTCAAACCACACCTGCAAGGGAAATGGGTTTTAACGATTTAGAAATCCATTCCTAGCTAAGCTCTGAATATAGCCAGCAGATATGGGTTACCAGTTAATACACCACGTAATGTGCATGGATTTTGTGGGTGGATTTTGACAGAATTTCGCTAAGCATTTTTTATAGCAGTTTAACGGGCCCGGGTCACGTAGCTGTGTTTTACCCGAGTAAGGTGTGGTACCAGAAGGTAACTTAAAAAAAAAACCTTACACTACTTCCGTAATTAAATGGAGTATGCTGCCATCAAGAGGCTCGAAATGTCCAGTTACATGTGTTCAAGGGTGCGGATCTTATCCTGACATGCTTATTCACATCAGTCGGGTCCTTGTCCCACATGTCTAGTTGCTCCTTCGTCTTCATATTCGAGCTCATGTGCTCGAACTGGGGCTCATTCGATATCGTCATCTTGAGGTTATTGTCACATTTGATCGGAGGTCTGTCGTGTTCAGTGTCTTGGTCCGACATCAGTGGCTGGAAAAATGGAAACAGATTTGAATGTTGGAAGCTGAAGTCTTGTGTCTGTAAATCCTGCACCTTCAGTTAACCCTAAAAGGCCGGGCGGATGCTGTTATGACTTTTTAGCCTCGAGCCTTGCGCATCTTTTGATACCAAAAACATAAAAATCGGACCACGGGTTGCCGCGCAGCATAAGATTTTCCGGTGCTACGCGCCGTCAAAACTGCATTTTCCCGTATACGTCGTGTACACAGAGCAGAATTACCATTTCTACATATGAATAATTAATTCGCCATAATTCCAAAACCCTTTGACCTATAGTCATGAATTTTCTTGAGTATGTTCATGATGAGTTGCTCTATGCATGTAAAGAGTTTCAATTTTGTTCGTTACTCGTTGGCCGAGATCTTGGGGGGGGGGGGGCGGAATCAGCCCCCCCCCCTCAGCTGAGAGATGGTCAAATAACCCGGCCCTTTTAGGGTTTAAACTGATTTTTGCAGAAAGGAGTACAAAATTCCAATTTCCAGAAATATTTCCACCACACTAAAATGATAACTCAATGTGTAATGAATAAACCTTGGGATAATCTTTAAGTGTGCATAAAACTGATGACAACTCCGTATTTTCTGATCAATAAATCATATTAGTCATTAATCACACGAAACACGGGTCGTTCATGTCCCTCATGCTTGATGTCCTTGTATAATCGTCCTTAATCGAAGTGTATCTTGATCCGTATGCCATAGGCCTATTATGAGCCAATGACAGGCTGTTTCATTCTCAGTCTGCTGTTCGTTTGTATACATGCATCCACATCGGTGTTGAACTCGAGACTTCAGAGTTTGAAACCGAGACCGAATCGCTGAATCTGATCTTATAAAGATGTTGCTGCTAAGAGCTATCATTGCTGTGTGTCTATCGGCCATTGTCATCATCAAATTTATTTGCAATACTTTATTGACAAAATAGTATATTTACAAGAGGATATAGGCCTAATGACAAAACAGAACAGCGAGAATACACAATAACCTAACGATGGGAGGTTTGCGGCATGTGAATGATATCTCTTTGTGAGTTGTGTGGTTCTGAAAAGAACCACTTAGTGTAACTCGACACTACCCCCTCCCTAGCAGCGGGTACTTTAAAGGTATAGTCCATCATTTGCAGCCATCCGAAAAGTAACTGGCGTAATTATTGTTGAAAAACAAACTTGGTTGAAAGATAGTAAGGGGACTAAACTCCCTGTGAAATTATTCTTTCTGGGAAGCTGTCATTTTGAAGTAATCAACGAAAGAAGGCACTTCCAACGGTGATTCTTAAGAAGCACCGTAGGAAAATTTAAATTAGTAGTTCGTTTTGTTATTCAGCGCAGCGCGCACAAGTATTGGAACGACGCACACGCGCGCGCGGTTGTTATAATTCGTCGGATCAGTGCGCGACGTCGCGTATAGCTGCAATTCAAAACAATTCAAAACATGATTCAGTAACTTTGGATTTGAAATTGAGATCTTAGAATGCTGTTTTTCTCGAAATGTACAGCTGAAGCTTAGCTGAAACTTCATCAGGTTTGTTGCTCAGTATCCTTCATTAGATTTTGAACTATTTTGTTGCTTCAAACGAACAAAATGCACAAATTACAAATGATGGACTGTAGCTTTAAAAGAAATGATAACCGCAGAGTGATCTGAAAGAGAGCACGAGAACAATTTACATGAACGCACAGACGGAATGAGACTGGAATGCAGATATAAACGGTCCAATCTGGCTTTGGAAATTCCACAAGGGCGGGTGGGATTGTTTCTCGACCAAGTGAGTTGTTTTCGGGAGGGATACAGTCTACGCCAGATGTCACATAAAGACAGCACATTAGCAGCGTTGGTGAGAGCCATGAAGATTTTGGGCCCATGTTCAGTGGGCGTGCACAGACGATCAATAGAGGGACACTCAGTGCAATTACAATAACCACGTCAGAACAATGACAGCAATGATCCGTAAAATCGCTGATAGCTTGCAGAGCATCTTTGTTATTTTGGGGAATCAGACAATTTTACAATTCAAGTGATACATGTTTTTATCGATATCAAGTTTGGTATAAAAGATATGCCCATGGAATATTGTATTGGAATCGAGAATGTTAGCGCTACCGGTTTTTTTTTTTTTTTTTTTTTTTTTTTTAAGTAGTGACAGCTGCATTCCGGCGTCACTTCCTGGACATTTGTTAATATGTTCTTTATTGAATGGGAAATCAATATTTTAAGATCGAAAATCGGGGTGGTGGGGTCAAAACAAGTTTGAAAAAAAGTCAAAATTTAAAAACATCGAAAATGTTGCATGACCCCTAAGGTGGTAGGTTTCTGGAAGAAATACAATGTCGGGGTTATTACATAATTTTTAACATAAACTTAAAAAGAGGCGCATCGGGTTACAGTGGAGCATCCTCCAGTATTTAATGTGAGAAATGATAAGGCCATAAACAAAGTAAGAAAGAAGCAATACATGCATTCCATGATGAAGGAAGCAATTACATATCAAGTGATCTGATCAATTTTTGCACCCTCTGCTGCATGCTCTTTTGCAGGAGTGGATGGGGTTTCGCAGGGGTTTTAGTTGTTTGACAAGTCCCGGGACGTCAGAGGTGAATTTTCTGATGATCTGGGTCTTTTTCTTTTTGGCTTTGACGTGGGCAAGAAAGTTAATTATCTGTTTGTGTAAGAGAGGACCGTTAGTGGTGAAAATGGACTCGGGGATGAAATCATTGTCGGTCTGTCTGTCTTCCTACAGCATTGAGTCGGTGGCGGTGTTTGTTTCTGCGTCGATCGAGGCTGGGGAGGAGGGAACGGGTGTGTCGAGGGCTTGGGAAAGGGAGGGAGAGCCATCCGGTTCGACGATCATGGATGATTTGGGTGTTTGCGTTTGGTGAAATTGTGTCCCAGTTTTACAAGTTTGAGAGTGGAGGCGAGGGCGATTTGCTTCGGGTTGGTTTTCCTTTGGCGATTATGTCGGAGAAGAGTCGTGACAGCCGAGGGGGTGATCCCCAAACGGAAAGGTTCTCCGCAGGTGGGTTTGGAGGGGAAGTTGACGTGGAGGGATAAGTGGAGGGTTTTCAGAAGAGGTTTGGAGTGTGATTTGGGTGTTTCAGGGATAAATGTGGGTCCAGTTTCCTTACTTGGCGCAGGTCCGGCGGCCACAGCTAGCTTAGCTGTCTTAGTAGGCAGTCCTGGTGGTTTAGCAGGGGGCGGGGCCGGGGCAGCAGATCGACAGAGTTTTCACGGAGGCGGGTGACCCGACCGCGACAGTGGGTGCGGGTGCAGGACCGGCGGCACCAGCAGAGGAAGCTGGCTTGGGTGGAACTGAGGTGTTTTTTTTGGAGGATATTTGGCGCTGAATTTATTGTAAACAAAGGTTGGGGGAGGATTGAGTGGATTGTCTGGTTTGTCCGATGCTTCACCGTGGTCACGTACGTCAATGTCATCGTCGGGTCGTCGTTTCTTGCAGGAGCGGCTGACATGCCCGAACTCCCCGCAGTTGAAACACCGCACCGACTCTGTTGTGAGGAAGACACGGTATTTGACACCCGAGAACGTGAAATTGATGTGATCAGGGGGAAGATGTTTGGGGCAAATGGGAAATGAACTTGTTTGCGGAAGGGCATTATATGGGAGAGATTTTTCTGCTTGAGACCAAGTGGGAAGGGCCGAATCTGAGAGACTACCTTAAAACGAAGAAAGATTGTTCACAAGGACATATTTGGGTATTTCGAGATGGACATTGGAGAGAGTAATTCGAGTGGTCGGGCGAACGAGGGGGGGGGGGCGCCCTGTCGATGTCCTGTCGATGCCCTGTTGGACGGCGTCCACAACGGCCTCTTTCGAACTCAAATAAATAGCGACGAGACCATTGGAAATACGCGTATGTATATTTCATTAGTTGTTAACTGTTTAATGGGATGGCGCCAGACTATTTATGCAGGCTTAACATAATACGGCTTAACATTAGGTAATGTTTAATTACACATTTTATATTATTCATTGAAGCAGACTGGAATTTATTATAAATTACCTTGCTTTCATTTCTCTTCGCAAGTTCCAAAAATTAAGATTTTACTTAACTTTCAATTCAATATGGCCGACTCGTGAATAATATGGCCCATGTAAGCCTGAATTGAAACAGTGTCTAGCGCCCGAAGTGTGACGCCATTGGTAACGTTCTTGAAAGGCTCGTCACCAGGAACAATAGGTTTGGCAGGGTCGGCCGTGCTCACGCTTGGCTGCATGGCCCTTGAATGGGTGGCGACGCTTGACTAGCCATGATAGCTAATCAGGGCAGAAACCAAACAGAAATGGGCAAGAAATTAGCCTAAAAATACAGAAAAATGATAAAACCCGACAGAGAAAGGAGGGTTTTGCTTGATCTAAAAACAATACTGAACAAGATAATATGACTAAACTGGCTGGGTATATACCAGGTCTAAAAGCTACTAAAAAAAACTAACTTATTGCGGACCTCGATCGAAGCACGACTAAACAGAAGAAGGAGGAAGAGGAAGAGGAGGTGGAGGAGGAGGAGGGGAGGAGGAAGAGAAGAAGGCAATGACGATGACTATGCGCAACTATGCGCAAAAGCCAATAATTGTTTTAAATGGATTATGCATGATGCAACTTTCAAACAGAGGGCGCTATACATACCCGGAAGTGTGGGTCACGGTTTTGTTTATCAGTTTCGTAGAAAGAAGCAACGAAGACATAATTTATTTATTCATTTAATTTGTCAAGGTTTATAGGACCCCAAACCAGCGGTAAGGAGTTTCCTTAGTTTTACTAGATGCTCTTTATGGTAGACATTTTTATAATATTGTATATGTAGAAGGTACATTTGGAAGGTAAAATAAGCGGCCTTTTGTCACGGGATGGGTTTTTATGGCTTATTTATCGTGAGCCCTATACATGTATATGGCCACGCACTGGAATAAACTTTGTGCTAAGGGCCATAATGCATGTTCACATGTGTGCACAAAAAGTGGTTAAATGATGGCATTTTGTCATGGAAATGTCTAGGCCTGATCATTGGGGTTCTTTTATTTAAAGGAAGATTGCTTTGATATTTTGGGTCAAAATTAGTGAAAATAATTCATTTTTGACTCACTAAGTAGGTAATTTTTGCCCAAATCTTCAATATGATTAGTGTTTGAAGGTCGATTGATGTTTCTCTTGCATCCAAAGACATTTCTGAGTTGTTTGAAGAAAAGTCAATTTTTGGCCAAATTTCATCAAAAATGTAAGGCTAACCCCTTACAATTTTTTCAATTTTGGCCAAAATATGAAATTGCTTGAAACTTGCAGGGAAGATGCCTGAGGGTCCCTAGAGCATATTCCAACTGGAATTTTAGACAAATTTGGCAATTAAAAGAAAGATTGCTTCGATAATTTGGGTCAAAATTAGTGAAAATTATTAATTTTTGTTTCAATAAGTCGGTTGATTTTTGCCCAAATCTTCAATATGATTAGTGTTTGAAGGTCGATTGATGTTCCTCTTGCATCCAAAGACATTTCTGAGTTGTTTGGAGAAAAGTCAATTTTTGGCCAAATTTCATCAAAAGTGTAGGGCTAAGGCCAAAAAAAAAATAAGTCGGTCTCTGGTCAGCGCGCGCGTCGATTTTAAGCATGCGCGTCGATCTTTTTTTTTCCCAAAATGTTCCGCGGTAGCTCCAACAGCGCCCTCTATTTCCGCACCTCCTCAATTTTTTTTTTACCAAAGAGCACCAAGGAATGGGAAATTGCACCAAGGCAAATGATCGAAAGCACCAAGGCAAATTATGGAGGACACCAATGTACATGAGGACACCAAAAAAGCAAAATAGTACACACCTTGTCTGTACAATCCAAGCTTGAAGAAAAAAAGAAAAAAGCAAAAAAAAAAAAAAAGCCGCGTGGCCGCGTCAATTCCGAAACTTTGGTCTGACCAGAGACCGATTTTTTATTTTTTTTGGCCTAACCCCTTGCAATTTTTTCAATTTTGGCCAAACAATGAAATTGCTTGAAACTTGCAGGGAAAATGCCTGAGGGTCCCCAGAGAACATTCCAACTGGAATTTGAGACAGATTGGGCATTTAAAAGAAAGATTGCTTCGATAATTTGGGTCAAACTTAGTGAAAATTATTAATTTTTGGTTCAATAAGTCAGTTGATTTTTGCCAAATTTCATCAAAAGTGTAAGGCTAACCCCTTGCAATTTTTTTCAATTTTGGCCAAAAAATGAAATTTCTTGAAACTTGCAGGGAAAATGCCTGAGGGTCCCCAGAGCACATTCCAACTGGAATTTGAGACAGATTGGGCATTTAAAAGAAAGATTGCTTCGATAATTTGGGTCAAAATTAGTGAAAATTATTAATTTTTGGTTCAATAAGTCAGTTGATTTTTGCCAAATCTTCAATATGATTAATGTTTGAAAGTCGATTGATGTTCCTCTTGCATCCAAAGACATTTCTGAGTTATTTGGAGAAAAGTCAATTTTTGGCCAAATTTCATCAAAAATGTAAGGCTAACCCCTTGCAATTTTTTCAATTTTGGCCGAAAAATGAAATTGCTTGAAACTCGCAGGGAAGATGCCTGAGGGCCCCTAGAGCACATTCCAACTAGAATTTGAGACAGATTGGGCATTTTAAAGAAAGATTGCTTCGATAATTTGGGTCAAAATTAGTGAAAATTATTAATTTTTGGTTCAATAAGTCAGTTGATTTTTGCCCAAATCTTCAATATGATTAATGTTTGAAAGTCTATTGATGTTCCATTGATGGGGGGGGGGGGGGGGCGTCCCCCACTGATTGATGCCCATGGCAGCCCCTAAACCCTGGAATGCCCTTCCTATACAAATTAGATAAGAGCTATAGCAGTGAGGCCACTTTTAAGGTACTGTTGAAAACGCACCTGCTTCAATGGCCTTTTATTGATTCTTCAAAGCGATGGTGGGTGGGCTGACGGCTTGGGGTGTTAATTTTCTTGTGTGTAGCTTTTTATCCGTGTAAATTGAAGTTGGTGAATGTCTTTCTGATTTGATATTTTAATGATTAACATTTTATTTGTCTTTGTAATTTTATAATTTTATAATTTCGTATTCATGATTTTCCTTATAGTGTTTTTTTGGTATTTTTAATGTATTTTTAGAATACATGTATATTTTTTAAAATAGAATTTGCGCTATATAACATTATATTACATTAATATTATTATTAATATTATTATCATACGTTTTGGACCATGAGCAATCGATCGAGCATATTTGCGACGGTAACATGCTGCCTCTAAATAGTGTTAGGAAGACATTGAAATGTCTCCTTAATATCCGGTGTCTCCATATTAAAGGTGTAACTTACGTCGAAAAATGTCTCCTTATTATATTAACAGGAATTCAAGTTCATGTGCACATGGGGAGTCGGCACTTATTTTAAAATTTCTTGTACTAGCCATTGCTGCCGTGAGGGATTGCCGTACCCATACAACTGGGTTGAGAGGAGTAATTGAGGTAAAGTGCCTTACTCAAGGGCACAATACGCATGACCACGCCGACCGTACGGTCGGGGCTCGAACCCACAATTTCACGATCATTAATCCTGTGCTCTACGTATACTGCTAAGACCACTTACCCAACTTCGAAATCAGGATTTGTTAAATTTACACTCGATATTCTGGTAAATCTTGCAAGCCCGGTTAATATAATGTAGGCCATATGGGCTTTATTTATTTCAGGGCTTGATATGGTTGTGTCAACAACAACAAAAGGATACCCAGATGTAAATGTAAATTATTAAAAATCTAATAAATGTTTTCAAATAAGTTAAACATGTGAAACACCAATGTGTCCTCTTTCCAATGATACCTAGATTGTTTGTCTGTGGCCACGGATAACGGAGCATTCGTTGATATTCTGTCAAGGGTCAAAACTAGCCCGAAAATTTGGACTCTCAATACTGTGTATGAGAGTCCGAAAATTTAGGTATTGAAAACATGTACTGGCATAGACAGTGTCGTAGCACGGTCCTTTTTATTTGGGGGTAAACATTTTTGAAAAGGGCACTTGCACATCCGTGGTGAAATGTAGACAGGTTTTTTCTCTGGACTCCGTAAAATCAAAAGGGGGGGGGGGGGGTTACCCTCTCTCGATGCACACAAACGGCTAATACATGGTGCTTTTCAGGGCGATACATGTGCGAAATTCCCTCAAAAAGGAAACTTGTTCCGAAAAAAAGGGGCACTTGTTAAAAAAAGGCACTCTTTACAAATTATTTTTTTTTTTGGGGGGGGGGTAAGCCCGTTGAAAAAAAAGGCATTGCATGAATGGAAAAAGGCAGTCTTTAAAAAATATTTGGGTGTGCGTAAATACGTACCATTATTGTTTCGTATTTCTGCGCTTTAGTTGAGGTCCAGGCCTTATCTGATCAAAGTGTCAGCTATGAACTCATGCCCATATGCAGGCCTAATCCCTGAACATACATGCACCGTAGATGCGTTTTTATTCCTCCATGATCTATGCGATAGCAAGGGCACCTTACCTGAAAAGGGGTGAATTCAAAAGTAAACAAATTTCACAATGACTATGGAATGCCCAACCTACAATCATACTACTATAGTGATACGTGTATGAAAATGACGTGGCTTTGAATGATGATGAGTCACTGCCACTGGCAGTGGCCGGCTGGCTGCGCCACAAACTTATCTCCCGGCCCATCGTTCCGGCGCGCCGCTGCACGAGAGGCTCTTTTACGTGCTGTGATCATTCTTTATTTGGCGTACACAGAATTTACAACACACATTTTCGGCTCGACTGACACTGAGTGAGTGACAGCCTAGCATCTTTCTGAAAATGAAAATGGCGATGTTAGGTGACCTGTACGTCGATGCGACCACCGTGTTGGTTGCATTGACTACTCTGGCTGCCTTTGCTCTGTACAAGAGCTCGAAGCGACCGGCTAACTTCCCTCCAGGACCGTTTGCTCTGCCTCTGCTCGGGAATGTTACATGTGAGTAGTCGGGCCTAGGCCTACCAAATTATGGTCAGGCCGCCTAGTCAGTAGTAGTACCATAGGCATGGCATGTAGCCCCACTACAGTGTGGCCGCGGTATGCTGCGCTGAACCTCTGCATACCGCGGCCACACTAGTGGGGCTACATGGCATGATACCCTTTAGAACCCCGTTACAGCTGACTAATTGACACTCAAAAGTGACATTCTGATATTTCTTGACACATTTCAACAGTTGACAATGACACCTTCTTGAATATTATCAGCAGGTTTAATTTGTAGAACTTAGAAGGAGCCTAGAAGGGCAGGGCTTTGATTTATGAGGGGTTAAAGACGACAATGACAAACAGAAAATATATTTAAAAAGCAAGATGGCGAACTGCAAAAAACGGTAGGAAAGTCACATTTTTTTTTTGAAAGTGCTTTCAAAATTACAACTGGCATGAGTTTATGTGAAGAAAAAAGACTGCTTTGGCCTGCAAAAGTCACTTTGGTACTGGACAGTCATCTGCAAAAGTCAGTTTTGAACAGAAGTTCAGAACTCGTAAAAATAGAGGTGTCCTTAACACTAAAGATAAGCATTACCCATGATACTAGGAAGAGTTTCATACTCACCGGACGTGCAGACATCACTTAATTGATAACCCGTGCACAAACCCTATGAGACTGGTCTGAAAAATTGTACCGGTACTGTGTTTTCGCAGTTAACATGATAAATCACTAACATGACTAAATGCTTCAATATTTTCCTTGCTAAGTTGACTCACTAAATTATGAGTGAGTAGGCATGGTAGGACATGTTAATTGCTTCCTGATGGCTGATCACTCGGCCCGATCCAGCCAAAGTCACTGCACTCTTCCGATTTAGGAATAGGATGCAATTATGCACATTGTGGGGAATGTTGTAACAGGTGAGTGGTACGTATTGGAAATGTCAAGCGATTCCCACCGTAGTTACAGCTCTGGAGGGGGAGGCAGACGAAATGTTTTTACAGTGTTAATATTAAACCATTTTCACTCATTTTAGGAGCTATACAAATCGTCTTTGTCCCTCCATCCATGAGCCTTTTGTTGTTTGTTTTAACACCTCTTAATAATAGACGTTATGCATAGCAGCCATCTTAGAGAGCAATGATTTTGTTTTGCTGGGATACGAATGAGTTTGTGTATTCCTTTATACTGAATTAAAATAGCAAAAGATGCCCTGTAAGATGGCCACTACGCAAAACGTCTATAGTCGGGAGAGTCAAAACCTAAAACTGAAGTTGGTGCTCTTTCCTAGAAACTGGGACCATAACTACACAATCACTTTCAGAATACTGTGCACATGAATAATTTTTGGATGACATCGTGAATCTTTGCGTTTTATAATTGACTGCAGCATTTTTGTCCAAAACTGCGTTGGAGGTCATGTGCGATCTGCACAAGCAGTACGGCGGTGTCTTCTCACTGAGGTTTGGTGCTTTCAACTTGATTGTACTGAACAACATTCAGGTCGTCCGAGAAGCGCTGGTGACGAAAGCCGTGGAGTTTGCGGGTCGACCGACGACATACTCCGGTACATGTTCACGGAACTTCAAGTTTGATTAGACAGTACAGTAGAACTTCCACCTGTTGGGACCGTCCAAACAATTGTTAGGACCATTGCCAACTGGTCCCCAATACCCTGTGAAATTATTCCGCCAGAAATAGTTTTAATCGAAAGTAAACAATCAATGATGGTGGTTTTAAAAAGGTGTGCCCGCTGGCAACCTTTTTTTTAATGTGTGTTAACAACAGAATCCAGTTATGAGGCCCAAAAAGTTGCGTGCATGTGCTGAATTTTCCCCCTTTAACTCAATATAGCCAATGTGTTAAAACTTCAACTGGTTGTTACTGTATTAAGATTGTGAGCAGTTTTGTTGCTTCAAACGAGAACAAAACTGCACGGAATGCATTGTAGCAATTTTTATTGTTCCGATTCTCCAGCTGAAATCATCACCGAAGGATACAAAGATATTGCCTTATCGAACTACGGCCCGCAGTGGAGATACCAGCGCAAGCTTGGCCACACTGCAATTAGGTTAGTTCCTGTTGCCATCAATCATAAATTTATTTTAAAAAAAATTGAAAAAAAATTAAATACCATCAGTGCTCAACAATCACATTTCACAATCTAATACCGTTTTTTTTTTCCCAGGCATTTTGCGCAGAAAGAACAACTGCAGAAGCTCGTCTTCAGCGTCACTCCGCAAATTGCCAAAGTTCTGGATGATCTTGGGGACAAACCGTTTGCACCCAAGTACACCATCGGCCAGATCGTGTATAATATCCTGGCAAGCTTGTGCTTCAACAAACAGTAAGTAGCGTTTATGTTAACGGTGCACTTTTGCCTGCAGATTTTTGCACATTTTTGTGTTTTTTAAGCTCTGGCAGGAGCTTCTTCATGTCACTTCGTGGTAGGTCTGTCCCCGGAAAATTGACCGAAAAGCGAGCCCCTTAAAGTCTCCCATAAAATATAACTACCAATTGACCAAAAATTGACCAAATGCAATGACCTCGTCAGTAAATGCACTCTTGGCGAACGTTTTCAGAACACACACAGTTGTCTTGAAAACAAATGCCCAAACGACAAATGGTCCGTTCTTCCCTTTAAATGCTAAAAGTGGAGGGGGGTTGAAACCCAACATAAATAGCAAACCGCAGACTTTGAAGGTACATGCAACTCTGTGTACTTTTATCGTCTTGTTTCAGATACGAGTTCAACCAGCCTGAACTGTTGCAGTGGATTCAGTTGAATGTTGATGCACAGAAAGCCTTCGGCAATGGTCTGATCGGTGACTTCTTTCCTGCCTTAAGTTTCATTCCAACTCCGAGTGAAAGGAAGGTTCGGAAGATTCTTGCAGAGATGTTAGGGTTCTTCAGAAAGAAGATAAAGATACATAGGGACCAGTTTGACCCAGGTGAGTCAAAACCAAACATTTCATTTAACATTTCCCCTGCAAAAATTCCATCCTATCAATAGATTGGTTGTAGAACCAGCCACTATATCAGATAAAACCAGCCAAAAAGCACAGTTAATAAGATATCGGCACTCGTAAGTAGATGGTTGTGGGTGCGAAGCCCACTTGACTAAAGACCAGTTCATACTTGACACGATTGCTATAATGCAATGGCAATTTAACGTTCACCAGAGATGAAATATGTTCTACTTTTGTAAACTCGCAGAGACGTCACAATTTGCTTTTCCTTAAAAAAATTGGTAGCCACCCATATAGGACTGGATAGGAGGAGTGCCAGAATGGCAGACTGGAGGTCGCAGGTTCAAACCCCGCTCCGGTCAAATTCTTCGTTCAACTATTACATTGCTTCTCTTTTGCAACAGAAAACGTGCGTGACTTCGTTGACTCGTTGCTGTTGACCCAGAAGCAGGCAATAGAAGCTGGGGAGGAGGAAGCCGAACACATCACCGATACTCACATTTGTCAGACAGTCTTTGACATTTTCGGAGGTAAAAAGATCTGTCTCATCTTTTTCAATATTAGTGACAAAGTGTCTTGCCCAATGACATGTCCAGATCGAGTAACCCTAACCTGGACGCCAAGCACCCCTCCACCCCCCCCCCCTCCATCTGCAGAATCACCCACAGATCGTAAGAGGTTGTTGATGCTCCAGACCATGAGGCCACGGCACTACACATAATCACATCATTTGGTGTGATTATCATTTTATTTTTTAAGAGAATAGCCAAAAATGTGTACTCAACATTGATTATAAAGGCCAGTTCATACTTCATGCGAATGCGATGTGAATTTGACGTCACGAAACATTGGCTGCAAAATGCGTCATAGTTGAAATGTTTGTGAATTCGCTGCGCAGAAACTTGCCCCTACGTCACAAATTCGCATTCCTTTTTGTGCCGAGTATGAACCAGCCTTAAGATGTTACTGTTTCAACACAGCTGGAACCGATACTACCACTGTCACTCTTCACTGGGCGGTGGGTCTCTTGGCCGAGAATCCGGAGGTCCAGGAGAAGGTTGCCAAGGAGATTGATGATGTCCTGGGTCGTGATACGCTCCCCTCGTTGGACGACCGCGGCTTGTTGCCTTACACCGAGGCCACCATCCTGGAGGTTCACCGCTATGGATCAGTTGCGCCTTTAGGCGTCCCCCATAATGTCACTACCGACACCACAGTGGGTGAGTATTTGGTCCAGGTGTCTAAAGTCTAGCGTTACCTTTCCGATTTTACTGGTTCACCAGTTCAGCGGATGACCACCGGTACATTTTTTCATCTTTGCGGTTAGACCGCAACTTACCCGCAATCCTGCATACGTGCCCGATTCTGTTCTATAATCGGTCACACGGTGATCAGTCACACGATAATCAGTCACATGATGACTAGTCACATGATGACAAAATGGCAGCCGTCCATGTTGAATCATGTTTCTAATTCTATTAACTGTTCAGGGTTCAATTATTAGATCTGTTTATCAAAAACCACTGACAAGATTGCCTCAGGATACATGTGTTTATGTATGCACATTGTTGTTTATGAGACACTCTACAAAAGGTAAACATGCGGGCTAGTGACAATGTCCGCGGGCTAGTTAAGAGTCTGTTTCAGTAGCCCGGCTGGCGTGTGAAAAATGTTAAGGTCGAACCCTGCATGTATACTTTACACCATATGCACATGAACAAGCACATGCACATGGTGGATCCCTTTGAATGTGGTCACTAAGCACCACCTGCTGTTTGTGCACGGAGACTATAGGGGGTACTATTAGGTTTTGGCATACGCAAATGAGTTTACCAAAACCACCCTCTTGTGGTCTCAAAAAAGCTCAAAAAGTCTGTGGTGTGCGACAGTACTGACATTATCAGTACATTTTTAAATGACTTGTAATTACTCCATCATTTTGTCATAAACAAATGTCATACTCCACATGTAACCTATTGAGACATAGCTAAAAAGCACCGGTAGTGCCCCCTAGTTGAACTTTTGACCAAGAATTTCTGAGGAAAAGATCAGAACCAGGCCAACTCCCATAGGTTTTGTATTGTCACGTATAGTATTAATTGTATTGTGTTGTAAGTATAGCTGCTTATATCACCGGGCCAATCACTATGCCCAGTCTTGAAGCCTGGAAATAGGTGGTCCTCATCCTTTTTAGCTATTTATACATGCAGCCTCAGGCTGTTGTGATGGGGGGATAGCCAGGCAAAAAAAAAAACCGCGGAGATAAAACACAGTTTTGTTTTTGTATGGGTACTGAACAAATACAGAGTAATCTGTGCATGTATACACTTTTTTTGCTTGAAATTGTTTTCTTGAGCGAAGAGGGCCTCTGTCCATCTATTTAGACTCTATGAGAAGGGATTATGTTCACCAAAATGCCTACTGAATGGATATTGTTAGACAGTAACACCCAGGCACCATCGTACTGAAAAGTTCAGTATGGTGGTGGATGACAACTAAAATACAATTGCAGCCTCGCAGGGTTAACCACTTGCGGCGGCCGGGATTACTTTCGGCCAAAAAACAGCATGTTTGAAAAAGATAAGATATATCAGCCAAATTTCAAAATTAGGTCAAACCACACAAATTCTGGCTCTTGAGAGTCATTTGGACAATATTTGTACTAAACTTCTCATCGTAACTTCATATTTTGCAACGCTCCGAGGCCTTGTCACAGAGTAATACTTGCTACGAAAACAGGCCGGAATGTACAATGTTCAAACTGCCAAGATCAAAACACAATGGGTACAAAAACAATGAGAACCACTGACATGTATACATGTCCAACGCCGGAGACTCAAGGAAAGCTTGCCCCTTCAAATGTACATTGCCAGCTCGTTTTTTCCATGTCTTCTCGCGTTAACTGATTAATATTATATGATTGTTTGTCATATTTGAGTAATCTTCTTTAAATAAATTTCTACAGCTGGGTACGATATCCCCAAAGGCACCATGGTGATGATTAACTATCTGGCTCTGCACAATGACCCAACACAGTGGTCCGAACCGGAGAAGTTTAAGCCGGGTAAGTTTGCAAGCTTGACAAGTTTATAGCGGCATCCGGCAACCTGAATTAGAAGGCCTTACTGCAGTGGTACCAAGTTCACACGCATGCTGGATGCATTCTTAAAAACAAGGCGCGTGTGCATCAGGTTTTAGTGCTTCTAGCAGTCCAGTTCATACTTCACGCGAAAGCGAAAGCGAAGCGAAATTCGTGACGTCAACAATACAGTCGAAGGCCGCCACCATTGTTGACGACAAATTTCGCTTCGCACAAGCTTTCGCATGAAGTATGAACTGGGCTTTAACTCTGAAAGAATACAGTACTTCTAGCTGTACACTCTTATCTTGTTAATCCCTTTGTCAACAAACTGGCCCCTGTTATCAGATACTGTTGCTAATCTCCTGCACTTGTCAATATCAGCTGTTTGACAGCACATGGAGCTTTATTACACTAAGTGTTAGGGATTATAAAGTCACTGTTTGGACAAAGGATTAAGATAGAGATAGGGCTGGCCAGTTTACAGTTAGATTGGCTGTTTCTCTCAGAAGTTTCTAGTGGAGGTTACACGCAATGGCATTTGGTAAATCTATATGTGGAAGGAGCCTGAAGTGAGTACAACCTGAGCACGACTCGCAGGAGCCCGGTGCCACCTCAGAAAAAGGCTGTTGCCTGATTGATCCATATGCTAAGCACAAACAGCTGAGAACCAGTCTCAAACCATACACATTTGATAAGATTTTGATCGGTAACCGTTTTTTTTTGGCTAAGGAAATAATTTTCATTCTTAGCAAAATTTTAATTTCTGGATCATACTTCACAGGAATGTTCAGAAACGTCTCCAGCAAAAGTTTCGCGCTGTATAAAGTATTCAAGTTTGTGAGTTCACAGCTCAAAAATGTGAAATTATGAAATAATAGCGCTCTTATTTGATGCAAACCAGTGGCATATAGTTAGGTGAAATGATTTTAATGATTTTAATAGTTAGGTGAAATGATTTTTGTCGAAGAGAAAATTGAAAGTTTTAAGCATTATTTCCCGTAAACAAAATTAAAATAAATTTCCTGCATGCTTTCTTTGACAGAGCACTTTTTGGACGACAACGGTCAACTTATCAAAAAGCTCCCAGAGAGCTTTCTCCCATTCAGCACCGGACGTCGCGTCTGCCTCGGCGAAGACTTTGTCAAGAAGGAAATCTTCTTGCTCTTCACTTGGCTGTTTGGCCGGTACTCCTTCTACAAGGTACCGGGCAAGGAGTCGGAGTCTCTCTTGACTCTCAACAAGGTGGCGACCTTGACTCACCAGCCTTTGGACGAAATGGAGATATGTGTCAAGAAGCGTTATTAGGCTTGTCAAGAGGTACTGACATTTTCAGAACCATAACATTGTTTTTGCAGATGTTTTTAAAAAACACTGCAATATCTGGTTCCTCTATTTCTGGTTCCAAGATCATAGTTAAAATTTGTTAATGATGCTTAGCACCAGAGCTCACAGCAAGAGAATATATAATAATGATAATAATATGCGGTGTTTATATAGTGCTTTATCCTAATGTTTCAAAGTGCTTCATCATTATTACCCTGCTCAATGGGCCAATGAAACATTCTAAATACCATCACAGCTCCCTTGGGAGTATACAGCTGGATGCTGCCATTTCGGCGCAAAGCAGCTGAAATCAACCACAATAACCATCTCTGCCCTCACAGGTACCCATTTACTCCTGGGTGGAGAGAAGCAATGAGCGACAAAGTCCCTTACCCAAGGGCACTCGCACCATAGCCGCACGCTGGACTCGAACCCACAACCTGCAGAATAACCCACAGACCAAGAATTCAATGCTCCCGACGCTTACAAATGAAATTTCGCCTGTCAATCAATAGTGAGATTCCAAGTCAGTCATAAGTCAAATCAAGTTAAATTACAGGTCATTATACCCCGCATTTCATCTGTAAAAGTAGCTCCTTCAAAGATTGAAATTGAAAAAGAAATACCACCCCCCCCCCAACAAAAAGGTGAAATAATCTTTTTAATTTCAACAGAAATAAATTAAAGCGGAAAATCTTTGCATCAGTTTGTGGTATAAATAGCATTTCAAACATGTGAGGAACACAAAAGTAGTTGTTGCAAAATTAACGTAAAAAAAACCGAATACAGTTAGACTTATTTTCTAAAAGGTTATGCGCAATTTAGATATAGATTTAATTGTAGTTTTTAGTGGGTTTTTTTTTTCTCAATTGTGTGTGTGTGTAGATTTGTGTGATTTTGATGGTGTATATAATTAAACGATCATAACCAATTAGACAATTTATGCATATTTTTCCTCGCAATCTCAATCTATAATCAATATGTAGGCAATTGCAATTATACCTAGTGATTGTGTTCATAGCAACTTAAAATAACAACTTAGAACTACAAAAATACTTCTTTGAAACAACTGAAGCAGTTTTGTTGAATGACCAAATATAAAGGGCTTATATACCATTTCTATAAAACGGAGAATATAATACTTCATTATTCCTGATCTATATTTACTATCTTATAAGGGCTTATAAACGATTTCTATATTTCCGGAGAATATAATACTTCATCATTCCTGATCTATCTTTACTATTTTATAAGGGCTTATATACGATTTCTATAAAACGGATAATATAATACTTCATTATTCCTGAGCTATATTTACTATTTTATATACAAATTCTGAATGATGTAAATTATGAATGTACATTTCATTTGCGTAGCAGGGTTTATATTGATACACATATACGAATCTATTTTTATAATTACTCTTTACAAGTAAATCGGCTACAATTTAAACAAAAGTAGTAATTTTCCTTCTATTTTGTGATAAAAAAAGTAGGCTGTCAAACTTATGAATGCATGATTTGTAATTGTGGAAAAAACAGCTTTCGCTTCAACACAATCCTATACCTTTCCCAAAAGGTCATCAATAATTGGCTTTAATTACAAAAAAGTAAATGGTTGTCAGTTTTGTAGTCCGCCAGGCGTATTTATAGAGTCTAGAACGAAAGCTTCAATTTAGTTTCGCTTGTATCATGATTGTGATATTATATAATGGCACACAGCAGCACATAATTTTCATGAATGCTGCTTCATTTACGAAAAAAGTGAACAGCTTGTTTTTTTTATCCGGTTCGTTGGTGTGACGTCAGTTCATTTTAAACCACGCCGGCTTGCCATTAAGTAGCATTGGAACCATTGGAACCGGAAGCTAACGCAATATTTTGAGTGTTTATCCAATGGGTGCTAGTATCAGTGGTGCGCGCGCGCGTGTATGACGTTTATAGTAACGAACCGGATAGCACACACTGTTCAAAGTTATACCAAAAGAGGGTAAGGGGAAAGGTTCGTAAAGACTTCATATTTTAGGAGAGTAATAATTTTAACATGAAAAATGATGACATTTATGACTTGTTCTCAACTTTCACATTCCATTATTATTTGCTATGCTTCAGTGTGTGTGTGTGTAATGAATAAATATATAGTATTGGTAGTGCTAAATCCAAATTCACGATAAATCCGTCTTTTTCTTTTATTCATTAGGGCTATATACCATATCGATAAGAGCTTGTTATTAATTAATGGTTTGTGCACGAAATGTGAAATTTATACAGGAATTATTAATTTTTGTCTCAGTAAGTCGGTGATTTTTACCCAAATCTTCAATATGTTAAGTGTTTGAAGGTCGATTGATCATGATGTTCCTCTTGCATCCGAAGATATTTCTAAGTTGTTTGGAGAAAAGTCATTTTTTTTCAATTTTGGCCAAAAAATGAAATTGCTTGAAACTTGCAGGGAAGATGCCCGAGGGTCCCTAGAACACATTCCAACTGGAATTTTCGACAGATTGGGAATTTAAAAGAAAGATTGCTTCGATAATTTGGGTCAAAATTAGTGAAAATTATTAAGTTTTGTTTCAATAAGTCAGTTGATTTTTTCCCAAATCTTCAATATGATTAATGTTTGAAAGTCTATTGATGTTCCTCTTGCATCCATAGACATTTCTGAGTTGTTTGGAGAAAAGTCAATTTTTGGCCAAATTTCATCAAAAGTGTAAGGCTAACCCCTTGCAATTTTTTTCAATTTTGGCCAAAAAATGAAATTTCTGAAACTTGCAGGGAAAATGCCTGAGGGTCCCTAGAGCACATTCTTACTGGAATTTGAGACAGATTGGGCATTTAAAAGGAAGATTGCTTCGATAATTTGGGTCAAAATTAGTGAAAATTATTAATTTTTGTCTCAATAAGTTCGTGATTTTTGTCAAAATCCTAAATACGATTAGTGTTTGAAGGTCGATTGATGTTCCTCTTGCATCTAAAGACATTTCTGAGTTGTTTGGAGAAAAGTCAATTTTTTGCCGAATTTGATAAAAAATGTAAGGCTAACCCCTTACAATTTTTTCAATTTTGGCCAAAAAATGAAATTGCTTGAAACTTGCAGGGAAGATGCCTGAGGGCCCCTAGAGCACATTCCAACTGGAATTTGAGACATATTTGGCAATTAAAAGAAAGATTCCTTCGATAATTTGGGTCAAAATTTGTGAAAATAATTAATTAATGTTTCAATAAGTCGGTTGATTTTTGCCCAAATCTTCAATATGATTAGTGTTTGCAGGTCGATTGATGTTCCTCTTGCATCCAAAGACCTTCCTGAGTTGTTTGGAGAAAAGTCCATTTTTGGCCAAATTTCATCAAAAGTTTAAGGCTAACCCCTTGCAATTTTTTTCAATTTTGTCCTAAAAATGAAATTGCCTGAAACTTGCAGGGAAGATGCCTGAGGGTCCCTGGAGCACATTCCAACTGGAACTTTGGAAAGGGTTGGGCATTTTAAAAACAGATTGCTTCGATATTTTGAGTCAAAATTAGTGAAATTATTAATTTTTGTCTCAATAAGTCGGTGATTTTTGCCCAAATCTTGAATATGATTAATGTTTGAAGGTAGATTGATGTTCTTCTTGCATCCAAAGACATTTCTGAGTTGTTTGAAGAAAAGTCAATTTTTGGCCAAATTTCATCAAAAATGTTAGGCTAACAACCCCTTGCAATTTTTTCAATTTTGGCCAAAATATGAAATTGCTTGAAACTTGCAGGGAAGATGCCTGAGGGTCCCTAGAGCACATTCCTACTGGAATTTTAGACAGATTTGGCAATTAAAAGAAAGATTGCTTTGATAATTTGGGTCAAAATTAGTGAAAATAATTAATTTTTGTTTCAATAAGTCGGTTGATTTTTGCCCAAATCTTCAATATGATTAGTGTTTGAAGGTCGATTGATGTTCCTCTTGCATCCAAAGACATTTCTGAGTTGTTTGGAGAAAAGGTCAATTTTTGGCAATTTTTTTTCAATTTTGGCCGTAAAATGGAATCGCTTAAGACTTGCAGGGAAGATGACTGAGGGTCCCTAGACCACATTCCAACTGGAAGTTTGGACAGATTAGGCATTTTAAGCATCTCATTTTTTTTTTTACGTAAGTTAGGACTTCACAATGGTTCCTTCACCATGTTCAGGAGAGATTTGACAAGTTTATTTGCCAACTTAAGACTGAAGTGGAAGAAAGGAATGCACACAATTTGAATGCAAATGAAGAGAGGCAAATTATGGTACGTCACCAAAAGGAACCATTGGAAAAACCTAATTTTTGCGAAAATTGGGATACTGGGGTAAAAAGACCCCCGTGCCGAGTATTAGACCGAAATATTTCATGAAAAAAAGCCAAAATGTTGCCACGTTTTTGTGCTCGTATATTATCACATGTGTATGGCCCTACGCACAGTGAATAGTGTTACCGTGGATGGGTATGATAAAACCTTTCTTGCATTCATGTTACCCAGCTCAATGATATATTTTTAAGGGAAACTGACTAGGTGAGTTATTACAATTAAAAGTTGAACAAAGACATTGACTGGAGCTGGGCTTGAACCTGCTACTTCCGGGTTACTGTTCCGGTGCTCTATCAACTGAGCTATCCAGCCCTATGTTGGAGGCTGGGGAGCCGCGGAACGGTAATCTGGAGGTCGCAGGTTCAAGCCTCTCTCCACTCAACTGCTTTGTTCAACTTTTCAATAAATTGAAATCACTAAGAAGTTACGACGGTACACAAATTAATGAGTCCATGCAATGCCCTTTACTTCGGAACATATTTTGTGCAAGTGTAAATTCTCTTAAATGTGTGAAAACTATATGACAACCCTTTTTGGATAATTTTATAAAATAGTGCACTCTTTCAGACATTTAAAATTGTCCATGCTTTTCCGATCAACTAAGGGCGATGTTTTTGTGATGTCAAATCGGGAAAACCCTGTTCAGTTTATGTGTTTTCTATTAAAATTGTGAACCCAAAAGTTTGCTTATTGAAAACAATTGTGAAAATTGTGTTTGCTCATCGGCTCACTGCCATATACTGACACAGCAACGAATCATCAAAAAAAAAACAGAATGCACAACAGCAAAATATCCAAATTCTGGTGCAAAAATGGCTGTAACATTGATGTTCTGCCTGAAATGACATCATAGTTCTGCTCTTGAATATGGAAATTCGTATTAGCATAAAGACAAAAAAGGCACCAAGATACCCTTGAAAACCTCGAAATGAAAATTGAAATTAGTGTTTATGAGACACAAAGGTGTATGTTTAAAATCAATGAGCTCTGGTGCCAAGTTGATTGACAATTAAATACACTACACCTATGGTGTCAGTTGTAAGTAAAGACACATAAGAGTGTCCCTTATGGGTTTTGCTAAATTTGCTCCTGGATGAAGAAAGCACATGAAAGCATGATCCCAAGTCTTCATTTGTTTACATTCCCTTCACAAGTCATACCACTAGAACATCACTTGACCATTTTAGACAGGTAAATTAGTTTAAACTCTGTTTCAAATTTGGTTTGAGAACCGAAATTTGACTGGTGAAATGTTGGAAGGTTTGTTTGTCAAATTAGCATCATTGTTCTTTTTAAGATTCCTCTGCACTTGAGATCTCAATGTGGATAGTGACGATTGCAAGCTGTGTAGTTGCTTGGCTGCTTCCATGTTGGTGCTCTCCTAATGAAGCCAATGTGGACCTGAAACATCACAGGATGAAGCGACGATCTAAAAGTCATGTTTGCAGTGCTGATAAAATGACTACCAAGGCTGCAGCTACATTTACATCAACAGAGGATGAAGCAGGTCCTTCTAACAGGCAGTCTACAAGTAAAATTAAGGCTGCACGTGTCTTCAAAGGTGTGTAAACCAACATGTTGTATCTTCTTCAACCTTTCTTTTCCATGTGGTCTATATCCAGGATAAGTCAGTGTGTTAACACTTACTGAGGATCTTGCACTTCGGCATTAATGGTAGTAACATTTGCAAACATCAAAAAGCAAAACTACTAAATGATTATGAAATACAAACGTGAATAATCGTCTCAATCATCCTGTGAAATCAGGATGATTCTAAAACAATCTATAGAATGTTACACGGAGAAAACCAAAAAGCTTTAATCACACTTTACAACCTCGGTATCAAAAGAAAATGGACCACTGCTAAATTTTCAAGCTCATAATAATAATAACGGAGTCTTATATAGCGCACGTATTTACCAACAATTAGGTACTCAAGGCGCTGGTTATTATGTTTATTATTAAAGAAAGGTAAATAAAGTATATGAGAAATATGAGACCCATTATGTAGCACCTTATAAGGGTTGACAAGGTGCTGCGGTGCATATTGCAGCCACTGCCAGACACACCGGGGCAAACCCCTTCTCTTAGCGATAGGTGCTACTGGGTTCTTTTACGTGCATTACACAACACACGGGACCTACGGCTTTACGTCCCATCCGAATGACGAAGCAATAATGGTAAAGTGCCTTGCTTAAGAGCACAAGCACCATGTTCCGACGGTCAGGATTCGAACTCATGTACCACGGCACACAAATCGAACACCGTAACCATTGGACCACAGCACCCCACAAAGAGGAAAGATTGAGGAAAGATTGTCTTAATCAGTTCAAAATAATTAGATCAAAAAACTGGCTGAAAGAGAAACAAATCTTTGTTATGATACAGTCAGATATTGCAATTGAAAACAAATCATTATACAAATGTCTTGATGTTTAGGGGATCACAACAGGTATCTCCGGATAACCTGTGCAATTAACATCAAGGTCTTCTTTTTTTATTATTTGCATTCATGGTTTTCAGGATGTAATATTTTTCGACTGCCTGACTGTCAAATATTTTCGTTCTATTTGTTTTCTCAGAACTATGCATAGATGATAGAACTCTCATGCGGTTTGCTAAAAAACTCAGTGGCCTTTGGATACAATTGGCGGCCGAGCTGGAGTTTACGCATCCAGATATAATCACCATTGAAAAGAAACGCCCTGGAGATGTCGTCTTGCAAGGTTACGAAATGCTTGCAACATGGACGCAACGCATCCCTGCTGAACAGCAAGTGCCCACGTTATACGCAGCATTGCTGCAAATTGGAAGAGCTGACATTGCAGGATAACTGCATGGTAA